AGGTATAGAGTATATTCCTGATAATGTCAAGGTATAGGGTATATTCCTAATAATGTCAAGATATAGAGTATATTCCTAATAATGTCAAGGTATAGAGTATATTCCTGATAATGTCAAGGTATAGAGTGGATTCCTAATAATGTCAAGATATAGAGTATATTCCTGATAATGTCAAGGTATAGAGTATATTCCTGATGATGTCAAGGTATAGAGTATATTCCTAAGAATATCAAGGCATAGAGTGTATTCTTAATAATGTCAAGGTATAGAATGTATTACTAATAATATCAAGGTATTTATTGTATTTATAATAATGTCAAGATATAAAGTGTATTACTAATAGTGTCAAGGTATAGAATACATTCCTGATAGTGTCAAGGTATAGAGTATATACCTAATACTGTCAAGGTATAGAGTGTATTCTTAATTATGTCAAGGTATAGAATGTATTCCTAATAATGTCAAGGTATAGAGTATATACCTAATAGTGTCAAGGTTTAGATTATATACCTAATAGTGCCAAGGTATAGAGTATATACCTAATAGTGTCAAGGTATAGATTATATACCTAATAGTGTCAAGGTTTAGATTATATACCTAATAGTGGCAAGGTATAGAGTATATGCCTAATAGTGTCAAGGTATAGATTATATACCTAATAGTGGCAAGGTATAGAGTATATACCTAATAGTGTCAAGGTTTAGATTATATACCTAATACTGTATAGGTAAAGAGTATATTCCAATTTGGAAAAAAATGGTGCGTATTGGTCTGAAACAAATTTTTTTGATTGCTAAATGTCTTGAAATATTCATCCAAGGCGATACCCCATTAAATGCATAAACAACAGTTATAACCCCTAAATATCATTTTCCTAACCCAACCCTTAAATATCTTTTTCTTAACCCAACCCCTAAATATCATTTTCCTAACCCAACCCCTTAATATCTTTTCCTAACCCAACCCCTTAATATCTTTTCCTAACCCAACCCCTAAATATCATTTCCCAAACCCAACCCCTAAATATCATTTTCCAAACCCAACCCCTAAATATCTTTTTCAAATCATTTTTGTCTAGAAAGAGTCTAGAATAGAAATAAATAATACTTTGGAGTAAAGTTAAATAAAAAATCTTTATCCTAAATCTTTCCGATTATTTATCAATTCTCTACAGAAGTTCTAAAATGTTTCCGAAACGGCATAAAAAGGCGATTTTTTTATAAAAGAAACTCTGTAATTTTAGATTCTAAAAACTTTCTAAACTAAGAGAACAGATAGGATTAGAAATAATTGCTGAAGGATTAATTATTAGATCTTAAAATAACGTATAATACGATTATCAAAACGTCGAATAATACAAAACGCCTAAAAACAAAACAAGAAATTGTTTTTACCTAACCAAACCCAACATTGTGAAATAATTTGTAACGTTTTGCAGTATTTGACGTTTTCTTATTCGATGTTTTGTTGTAGTCAACTTTATGTATTATCGTCGTTTTCTTATTCGACATTTTAATAATCGACGTTTTGATCATCGATGTTTCGATATTCGACGTTTTAATGACCGATGTTTTGATAATCGACGTTTTAATCATCGATGTTTTGATAATCGACGTTTTAATAACCGATGTTTTGATAATCGACGTTTTTTACCCACTCCAAATACACGAAACAGTTTTTGATAAACATGTTCAAGATCCTATCCTATCTCCGCCCGTCTTAAAGGGTTTAAAAATAAAAACGGTTTAAAAATTGATTTTTTTACTACATATTGTGATTTAGCGGTTCGGCAGTGGTACAATATTCGAGCTATAGCATATACTAACTTGTAACATACATACATCCATATAAAAATATCACATCTCTTCATATATTAGCCCTATCCCTGCTGGGGTACTTGAAAAGCAGGATATGCTGGGGGGGGGGTCAATTTGACCCCCCTCCCCTCTAAATCCCATGTTTTATGTCCAAATATGACAAATGATACATCATTAGAAAGCTCTTGTGCTCTACTTTTAGAATCTGCAAAAAAATTTGCAAATTTGCAAAAATTAAATTTTTTATCGCAAAAATTATCCAAAAAATGAAAAATTATACGTTTTTGAAAAGCCCTTGACCATGCCATTTCAAATATGCAAAAATTTTTGCAAAATTTTAAATAACCTGATTTTTAATGAAGAAAAACTAAAAATGTGCAAATTTCCTTTGACAGGTTGTTTGCAAAAAATTTGCCATATTTTTCGCAAAACTTGTGCTATCCGTTTCCTTATGTCATAGGCTTTCCAAAAAGCTAAATTTTATCAAAATCTGACAAGTGAAAGTGGGTCAAAACAAAGATTTAGTTTGTTACAGGCAAAAGCAGTCATTCAGGCAGTGTACCTGAGGACTCAGGCAGTTAGTATTAAAGCCCGGTTTTAGGCCTAAAGGGAGGGCTTTGGGTATGTAAGAAAAGTCAGAAAATTTCAACATCCTCAGACCAATACTTTTTGAGTTATGTAAAAAAAAACTACAGGGGGGGGGTCAAATTGACCCCCCCCCCCCCAGCAGGAATAGGGTTAAGATAGAATTAAAACAGATGTATCCTCGTATTCAGAAATGTTGTAAAGAACGAAAACACAATGGAAAGAAATGTCGAGGTTTTTGTTGCAAAAACTTTCTTATATTCAGAGATTTGCATCAAACTTTTCCTAACTTTTCGTTGATCAATTTCTAACTAAACATTGGAATTCCTGACAAGTTAGAAAATTATTTGTTTTGAAAAGTGTTGATTAGATCAAATCATGTAGCTCCTTAAACAAATTACAATAAATAGCTATATGTGATGTAGCTCTTAAAGGATTACTAATGTAAAGGTAGCTGGATGTAATGTAGCTCTTAAAGGATTACTAATGTAAAGGTAGCTGTATGTAATGTAGCTCCTAGAGAATTAACAATGTATATGTAGCTGTATGTGTAGCTCCTAGAGGGTTACCAATGTAAAGGTAGCTGTATGTGTAGCTCCTAGAGGGTTACCAATGTAAAGGTAGCTGTATGTGATGAAGCTCCTAAAGGATTACCAATGTAAAGGTAGCTGTATGTGATGTAGCACCTAGAGGATTACCAATGTATATGTAGCTGTATGTGATGTAGCTCCTAAAGTATTACCAATGTATTGTAGCTGTATGTGTAGCTCCTAAAGGATTACCAATGTATATATAGCTGTATGTGTAGCTCCTAAAGTATTACCAATATGTAGGTAGGTGTTTGTATAGCTTCTGAAGGATTACCGATGTAAAGGTAGCTGTATGTGCATTGTGCAGCTCCTGAAGGATTACCAATGCATTGTATAAGTAGCTGTATGTGATGTAGCTCCAAGAGGATTACCAATGTATTGTATAGGTAGCTGTATGTGATGTATCTCCTAGAGGATTACCAATGTATTGTATAGGTAGCTGTATGTGCAGCTCCTGAACGATTACCAATGTATTGTATAGGTAGCTGTATGTGATGTAGCTCCTGAAGGATTACCAATGTAGTGTATAGGTAGCTGTATGCGATGTTGCTCCTAGAGGATTACCAATGTATTGTATAGGTTGCTGTATGTGCAGTTACTGAAGGATTACCAATGTATAGTATAGGTAGCTGTATGTGATGTAGCTCCTAGAGGATTATCAATGTATTGTATAGGTAGCTGTATGTGATGTAGCTCCTGAAGGATTACCAATGTATTGCATAGGTAGCTGTATGCGATGTAGCTCCTAGAGGATTACCAATGTATTGTATAGGTAGCTGTATGCGATGTAGCTCCTAGAGGATTACCAATGTATTGTATAGGTAGCTGTATGTGATGTAGCTCCTAGAGGATTACCAATGGCAGCAACATTTATCGGAAATTCGACTGCGATTCAGGTATAAATATGTTAAATCAGCAGTTTTTATTGAAAAATATACTTTTCAAAATTTAATTTTAAAAAAATTTAGAATTTAATTAAATCTCTTTAAGGAGATTTTTAAAAGAATATCCGAGCAGTTTACTGCTATGTTCAGGAGGAAAGCTTTCTTGCATTGGTATACAGGTAAGGTTAAGACGTCAACACGACAATCACCAACAGTCAGGGGCAGAAGGGCAGAAATGTCGTCATTATTGATTATTTTTTTGTCAAAAACCTTGAATATAAAAGGGTGTTATAAAATATAAAAAAAATCGCAACATTTTATCTTAGGCTTTTTTATATAAATTGGGTTAACAAAATCGCATTTTTTGTTGTTAGAAACTCCCCACAAAAATAATCAAAATAGTCAAATTACGTCATGAAAATAGTTATCAAAATTTCCGCCAAACAATTCCTAATTAAATCTTTTATAAAAATGAAAAACATTGGTTTTATTTCAAAAACTTTTTTTAGATTTTTCAGCTGATTCGAAATGTTTGATTTTTAGAGATAATAATCATATTATTTGTTGATTATTGTTTAATGTTTATGAATTTACATATTGACCATTTAAGGTGAAGGTATGGATGAGATGGAGTTTACTGAAGCTGAATCCAATATGAATGATTTAGGTAATTAAATCTTATTTTTTATATGGATAGCCTCGATGAATTTTTTAAACAGTTTAAATTTCTGGATTCTAATTAGTTGGCTCAATCTAAAAGTCACTGATTAGTTCCTTGTTTAATTGATCTGATTGGTAAATGAACTGATTGATTGATTTATTATTTGTCTGGGGTTGCTAAAAAGTTGATAGAGTGATTAATGGCTTAAATAAGATTTGATGGATCTGTTGTGGAATTGATTTTTGATTGATTAATTAATGTTTTGTGATAAATAAATAAATTGGTTTATTTATTTAGTGAATTTTCTGGATATTTTAGTTTTTAATCGATAATTGATTATTTGATAGATCGACTAATTAAGTAATTGATTAACTAATTGACTGATTAATCACTTGATTGATTGATTATAGTATCTGAGTACCAGCAGTACCAGGAGGCAGGTGCTGAAGATGAGTTCTACGATGAAGATCAGGTATTTGCTCAAAACTTTAGAATTGTGAATATCGAGATCAATGCTTTTTATTAATCTTCAGATTGATACAATCTTTATTTTGAAATCCACTCTTCTAAACGCTACTATATCCCCGGTCAGTGTACTGCAGCTAACGACAGTACTCACCGAAAGGCTGAAAGCTTAGTTGAGTGTGTCCAGGAAAGTGTCTTTAATTCTACCAATCAGAGTGTCTTGTACATAAACCAAACAGCCAATCAGAAACCGCAGGGATATCCAAAAGAGAGGATTTACTAGAAAATTACAAGTATCCACTTCTAAAGTTTTTAGCCCTAATCAAACAAGTCTAAACATTTAGAATTAAAAATGTTATAAAAAGATATTAATAAAATCAGTGTTTAGATGTACAATTTTTTTATTTTTGTATTAAAGGGACTTTAAGACGGAACCCAATTAAAAGAGTGGCATGTCCGATTCACAATGGTTCCCTTTCCATCTTTATCTACCATTGTGAATCGGACCTGTCACTCTATGAAAGGGGGGTCACTTTGAATAACGGCTAGAGTCCCTTTAAACTGTGAATTTATTTCTATTTGTTTGTCCAGCGTAAAGTCCTGATAATGAAAACGAATTATGAAAGGTTGTAATTTTTCCTCCAATCTACAAAATAACTTAAATTGTTATCTTTAATCGACGAATATAAAAAAATCATATATATATATATATATATTTATATAAAATATTATCTTTGTTTGTCCTTTATATAATTTCTAATTAATAACTTGCTAATTTTAGACTGGAGAGGAGGAACAAGATCCGGAGTAGACCGGAAGCAAGATCCGGAGTAAACCAAAAGCAAAGTTGTCTGGGAGGACAGACTAAAACTTGTATTTCACTTTAAAGAGATTGTGGGCATAATTTCAAGTGGGACATGCTCGATTCACAACTGTACTCTGTAAACCTTAGTCTTAGCAAATATATTCTCTAAAATTTGTAATTTTTATTTGATAATTTCCAATTCTAGTTTCTTTATTAAAGTTAATAGCGGATTGTGCAGCAGAGACAAATAACAAATTCAAACGTTTTAAAATTGAAAAACGATAATTTCCTAATTGAATCTAATTGAATTGTGCATACAACTCATAAATTGAAGGATCACATGAAATTACTTGACGTACAGTCCCTTTAATTCATTTATTGTGTTTTTATAATTGAATAGTTATAAGAATTAAATAAACATTTTGTTGTATATATTTACGGGTATTGAGCTAATAATTATAATTAATTAAATTTTTAGATTTGGAGGAGACGTTTCTTATAGAGAATAGACAACTCAGACAACTAGAATTTTAATATTTATTCATTATTTTCAAATTTTTCTCAAATATATTTTATGAAAATCTATTTTACAATATATTACATGTATTTTATTTATATATCTGAAGCAGTAATCCTTGTTTTTGTCTGTTTGTTTTAATGTCCGATCATAAATCTTGAACCCCTGGACCGATTTGCCTCTAATTTTGATTGGGAACTGGGTGGAACCACGGGAATGCTCGTAGTTTATACAAAAATTCTAAATGGATTTCCATTTTCAGCTTTACATTTTTATTTGACAAAGAAATCAACTATATATACATATATTCAAAGAAATCAACTATATATACATATATTCAAAGAAATCAACTGTATATACATATATTCAAAGAAATCAACTGTATATACATATATTCAAAGAAATCAACTGTATATACATATATTCAAAGAAACCAACTATATATACATATATTCAAAGAAATCAAATGTATATACATATATTCAAAGAAATCAACTTTCAAAGAAATCAACTGTATATATACATATATTCAACGAATTTTAACTACAGAGGATCGTCATGAGACGTGAAACATTATGTTTAGTATAATTCTTTTTTTATTACAAACCAAAACATTAGTATTAATTTTTTCAACAACTTTTTTTTAATTAAACCATTTCTCGATTAGGAGGCACACTGTCAATTTCAGTCTAAATTTAGATGAATGGATGCATGGATGAATGGATGAACAACCCAATGTATGATCACCTGAATATTCGTGGGCCCTGGAATTACTTTACTAAAATTATGAATATTCGTGGGCCCTGGAATTACTTTACTAAACCCCCCCCCACCCACCAGGGTAAATAGGGTTAAAATTTACTTACTGATTTATGAAGTTAAATGTCGAAAAAACTTTAGAAAACATTACATTCTTTTCTCTCGATAACAAAAATTTAAAAATTGAAATATAATATGTAAAAAACTTATCGTTTTGTTTTTGGTTTTTTAAAATTTTTTTCATTTTTTACATAAGAAAATTACAAGAAAGGACATTTCATATTTTGTACAATCAGAAATATAATTTGTTTTAAAGAAATAATATTTTAGTTAAAAGTTTAAAGCTAATATATTTAAAATATAAAACATTCAAAAATAGGGTTGTTAAAGAAATGACATTTCTTACAGATTGGACTTTTATAAGATATGGACATTTTTTCAGGAGACATTTTATAGAGAGGGCATTTCATAGATAGATATAACTTTTTATTTAGAACATTTCATAGAGAGGACATGTGCACAAATTTCATAGAGAGGACATGTGCACGAATTTCATTAAAATTTCTATCTTAAAATTTTCATGAAAATGTTTTTAATTTGTAGGATGTAAGGGCAATATTTAGATACAAAAAAAAAACATAATTTCATGTTGATATTTCAAAGTACTGGCATTTACTCATTTACAGGATAGTGGAATGTCAATGTAAACTTAAAAAGCCCCTTAAATTTAAAACTTTAAAACAAAAATACAATGTATTCCCCCTTTTGGTGGGGGGGGGGGGATTTAAATACCTGCCTTTCTACCAAAAAAAATAAAGAGTTCTATATTCTTTTCAAGAAAATCAATCCTGCATTTTATGCGATTGTAAAACAAAACTTATTAAACTAATACTTGCTGCAAGGCTATTGAATATTTCTATAATATCAAAATAAATATCAAACCAGAAAATCAATATTTCAATTTTGATTATTTATTTCTATCCCTTTATAAAGTTAATTCATAAAATCTTATTTCCACCCGGCAGTAGTTCAAATTTATTATTATCGGAACTTAAGTAGTTTAGTAGTGGTGGAGGGATTGTATCGGATGTGGGAGGGGTCGAGGGCCTCATATATTCCCGGGTTCACCGGGTCGTATTCAGGGAGTAAGGAATAGAAGGGATAACTGACGCGGTTCACCCTACCATAAGATTATACATGCTTTGCAGACGGTACTTCATTTGTATATGAAATATTTGTCTGATGTACATTTACCGCGTATACAATGACCTATTCTGAATTGTGAAGATTAGTTTTTTAAAGTTTTGAATCTTTCACTCTCGGACAGTGAAATTTTTTTCAAAATATGCTTTTCAAAATAATGAAACATCTATCAGTTTTGTTTCATAAAGTAATTGCTAAATTATCTAAACGTAAGTTCACAAAAAGTGAATATTATCAAAAATAATGAGTAATAATCAATCAAATATAAGTTAAATATTCCACATTTCTATCAATTTCAAAGATATACTCTATATTATTTGACTGATCATAAATCTCTCAGATTTTTGTTTGTTCACTTTAATATCCATCTGTTTATGACAGTTTAGGGAGGGGGGAAGGTCAACCACAACAATTTCTCGTTCGAGCCACTTTCTCCTCATTTTCTCGTCCGAGCCATCTCGAAATCCTCATCCTTTCAATCCTCCCAGATAAAATCATTTTTAAAGAATCGGCCCACGTTAGGGCATAAATGAAATAACAAATTAGTGTAAATCAAAAAGAAAAGTTTCAATTGAATTAAAGTTTTCTAGTTATTGTCTTTAAAAATGATTACCTTTTTCAAGCGCATTTTCAGATATTTCTGGTGTGGAATGCCGCAAATAATTCCGAGTTTATATAACTTCAATCTTTTTTGTTGACTAAAGTGAAAAACATTTTTCCGGGTGGTTCAATGGGGAAAATGATAGGAAGAGGTTTGCCAAATTATTTTGCTATTCATTTTATATGGCGAAGGTTAGCCATTACAGAGACAGAAGTCCATCCATATTTTATGCTTTTAAACTTTTAAACACAAAATAATCGAAGGACGAGGATTCCGAGGTGGCTCGGACGAGAAATTGTTGTGACTGGCCTTCCTCCCCTCGTGGAGGAGATCTAATTTACATTAACAGAAGCCAAATACATTAGAATAACTAATCATACAAACTTTAGTGAATTTACAACAGAATTCTGTGTACAGTGTTCAATGTTATGTTTCAGTGTTCAGTGTTCAGTGTTCAGTGTTCAGTGTTCAGTTTTCAGTCTGCAATTCAGTGTTCAAAGTTCAGTGTTCAGTGTTCGGTTTTCAGTGTTCAGTGTTCAGTGCTCAATGCTCAATATTCAGTGTTCAGAGTTCAGTGTTCAGTGTTCAGTCTTCAGTGTTTAGTATTCAGTGTTCAGTTTTCAGTGTTCAGTGTTCAGTATTCAATGTTCAGTGTTCAGTGTTCAGTGTTCAGTGTTCAGTGTTATTACCATTAAGTTTTTTATATATTTCACTTAAAGAAACAAAAATTTACCTTTGAATAAAAAGTGTTCTATACAATTCATAGCAGTTCCCTTTTAGCTTATAGCACCCTGACTCACAATGGGGAAGATATCTTCGGTTTTCAAAGCATTAAATAAGGCAAATTTATTTTACTGAAGAAATTTACAAAGGTCACTCATATCATGTTCACAGTCCTTATTTGGCAATTTTTAAATTTAAGATTTAAATATGTTACAGTTTAAGCATTTGTTCCAGAGCTCTCTGATTTTTTCTTATCTGAAATGTTCAAACATAAAAAGTAGTTTGTAAGTACTTAAAGTATAAGTGTTATAAGTTGAAGTAGAACAAACTTTTTATGGAAGACTTGATAATATAGAGAGAAACTATTTAAAGGTACTGTAGTCGTAATATAGAGAGAAACTATTTAAAGGGACTGTAGTCGTAATATAGAGAGAAACTATTTAAAGGGACTGTAGTCGTAATATAGAGAGAAACTATTTAAAGGGACTGTAGTCGTAATATAGAGAGAAACTATTTAAAAGGACTGTAGTCGTAATATAGAGAGAAACTATTTAAAGGGACTGTAGTCGTAATATAGAGAGAAACTATTTAAAGGGACTGTAGTCGTAATATAGAGCGAAACTATTTAAAGGGACTGTAGTCGTAATTTCAAATGACTCTCAATCTTTACAATAGCATTTCAAATATAACATTTTCCACTTATTTCTATCTATTTATCTATATATTTACAATTCAAATCCAATCTCTATATTTTCCCCATATCTTTCTATCTATTCTTATATTTTGCATCATATCTTTATCTATCTATTTCTATATCTACCATGATATCTCTACCTATCTATCTTTGTATTTTGCATCATATCTCTATCTATCTATTTCTGTATTTTGAATCATATCTCTATCTATCTATTTCTATATTTTCCATGATTTCTATATCTATCTATCTATGTATTTTCCATCATATCTCTATCCATATATTTTTATATTTTGCATCATATCTCTATCTATCTATCTCTGTATTTTGCATCACATCTCTACCTATATCTATCTATCTATATCCCGTATCCTCTATATTACCCAGTTTTTACCCTTGATGATAAATGTTAGTGCGGACACCTGAAAGATCGGATATATGTCACCCAGCCAACTAAGCAGACAACTAGACAACTAGACAACTAGACAACTAGACAAAGCGACAACTAGACACTTAAACCACTAGACAACTAGACAAAGCGACAACTAGACACTTAAACCACTAGACAACTAAACAATGAACAAGACAATTTGACAACAAAACCATTATACCACTAGACAACTAGGCAGCTAGACAACTAGACACCTATACAACTAGACAACTAGACAACTAGACAACTAG